CATCAGCACAAGGAATAAAACCATCAGCATCAAGTAAAGCAAAACGAAAACGAGCTTCAGCTCTTTATCAACAAAAACAACAACAACATCAACATCAACAACAACAATTTACATAAATCTAGTCTTTTGTCAGATTTGTTTTGTTTTATTTGAACAGTTTATTTCTCTATCAAAAATAAAAATCATTCAAATATTAAATCGATTGAATATTTTCTAGATTGAAAAAAAAACCCAGAAATGCATCTAGTCAGTAATAATGATCGATCACTTTCATCAATTCCATCTGATAATTGGAGACCACCATTTGTTACATTAGAAACATCGTACGTTGATTTTTGTTTTTATAAATAAATAATAAAAATATTCTATTTAAAATCTAGTATGGGTAAAATAGTTGTTGAACTTTATTGGGATCATGCACCAAATACATGTAAAAATTTTGCTGAATTAACTCGACGTGGATATTATAATTCAACAAAATTTCATCGTGTTGTTAAAGATTTTATTGCACAAGGTGGAGATCCAACTGGAACAGGACGTGGTGGTTCATCAATTTATGGAACATATTTTAATGATGAAATTACACCTTTATTAAAACATACTGGTAAACACTTTTTAAACATTACCTTTTTTTGTTTTTCTTTTTTACAATTACAAATTCAAAATCATTCGAATCTAAAACATTAGTAAATTTTTTTTATTCGAAAGAAAATTAGTTTATGTTTTCTGTTTTTAATCGATGTTATTTTGGTTTTTAAAATAACATCGAAAAAATATTCATCTTTACTTGTCGACCCTAATATATGTTCACTGTCTCTTCGTCTTATTCAAAATAAAATATGATAAATGAGAATAATATAAAATATTGATTTAATTTGATAAATATAAATCAATTTGGTATTAATTTATTTTTATCATCTTAAACAAAATTGATCGTTAATTGAGATAATAAAAATGAAATAAATCTAATCTATACGTGACTTGTTTTATTAAATAATTTTATTAATAAAAATAAAGAAAAAAAAATGTTTAATTTATTAAAAGGTGCAGGTATAATATCAATGGCAAATGCAGGTCCAAATACAAATGGTTCTCAATTTTTTTTTACATTAGCTCCAGCTCAATCATTAGATAAATCTCATACAATATTTGGACGTATTCATTTGGGTATAAATGTTTTACAAAAAATTTCAACAATTCAAACAACAGATAATGATCGACCTATTGATGATATAACTATTATTCGAGCTTATATAACACCAAATGAATAATTTCATTTTATTTCTATAGGATTATTTTCTTTTCTTTTGTTATATCATCTAACATGTTATACTTCTTCTTCAAAAATTTTCATTAAATATACAAGATCAATAATAAAATGATCCTTTGCTTTTTTTTTGTTTTTCATTAAAATAATCTATAACGCAAAAGTCTTCACACAAAATCTTCATTCATTTTTCTGTCATTTAAAACAAAACTGGTTAGACTGATAAGTAACTTGTCTCAATCAGCCATTTTTTTTCCTTTTCAAAATAGTCTTTTCATCGAATACTATTCTCGTAAATATTGCATTTTAATTCAAATCTATTAAATTGAATATGTCAAATAGTTTTATA